ATTTTCCGTCTGGTCTCACTGACTGCAAGGATGTCGATGCGGATATTGCGGAGTTCGCGCAGCAAGCATAGTTTTTATAAAATGTCAAATATTTTATAGGACCGGAACGTATATGACTTAATGGACCGAAACGTCTTATCTCACTCTTGCCTCTTTTCCTCATTCTCTTCCTGTTTTCTGTATTCAATGCGCTTCCGACACTTCGGCATCCAGGGTCACCCTGGTTGCTGCGCAATCGGCTTATAACAAATATTCTCTAAAAATGGCCCTGCGCACACTGAGCATGCGGCAGTTACAGACTTAAGTTTAGGACCAAAGGACCTGGTACAGCTACGTTTCGCGCGTGGAAGCATCCTAGTAACACTACATTCACAAGATCCCCAGATTGATTGTCCAGGGGCTCCCTTTCTTTCCCTTTATATTTTGAGGAGGCTTTGGTAAGGATCTAAACTATTTTTTGAGCTTGAAATTTTTGTTGTATGTGCGTAGAAACCGTTAAATTCCTCATTTATTATGCATTTTGTGCTGTGTAACAGCAGTACAAAGCGCATATTGTCACGGGATTGTCTGTGTGTGTGTTTATGTGTGTGTCCTACATTTTGTCCCAAACTTTCAACTAATATCTCGGGAACCACGGAGTCTAGGAGGCTGAAATTTTAGGGTAATGACCCCTGTCCACGCTCAACCTTGCCTATTCAAATTCAACGTTCCCGCACTGTTGAGTATCACCTACGGCCTCGTGAAAATTTTGACGGGTAAACTATTAACTCGGGAATCACGGGAAGACATTCACCCTTCAAGGTTTCGAATTCAGCTTTCATGCGCTGTTGCGTGAAATTTTTAACTATTTTAAAATATTTGAACTATTTTTGCATAGATTATAGTACAAAGCAGTGAAAATCAATTATAGGCAGTCGTTCGATGGGCTGAATTGCACAAAACGCATAATCGCACCGGCTAGTCTGATGCGCCGCTATTTGTTTAGAAATGTTTCTGACTGTTTTCAGAGGCTAGCCCGTATACTCGATGCCCGACAGTTGGCGCTCAAATTGATCGCCAATGTAACGTACGGTTACGCGGCAGCTAATTTCAGTGGTCGTATGCCATGCGTCGAAGTGGCCGATGCCATTGTCAGCAAAGTAGGTGATTCTGGGGAGTACTTCACTGCCTAAAGTTTGTCCGTGCGTAAAATAGATGTGAAATGAAATTTACCTTTTTCTTCGTTGTAACAGCGACGTTTGCGCAAAAAATGACAATATTTTTATGTGTTTTAGAGAAATATTTTTTATTTTTTTTGAAATATTTTTTTTTACGAATTTTTCTAGGGAATTATTTTTTTCATATGAAATGCTAAATTAGTATTTGTTAACCGAGAACTGTAAATGCTATTTGTGGAATAGATATCAGCTAACAGCGAACAATATTGGCAATATTATTGATAATTTAGCAAGCTGCATATAGGAAGAAATGCTAGTTTAGCCGAGATTAAGATGTTTTGGCCCCACTAAGTTGTAAACTTTATGCCTAAAATGGGATTATTAAGGGCAGAGAAACACTAGAACGTGCCATTGAAATGGTCAACAATGGAAGTTATGGTGGAGCACGTGTAATTTATGGCGATACTGATAGCATGTTTGTTCTCTGTCCAGGTTTCTTTTTGCTGATAATAAATGTACTGAAACGGCGTAGCTTCTGCGGATGTCAAAACTTTTGATGGATTTGTGCATGAACAACGAAACATGCATAAATCCATCAAAAGTTAGCTCAGGATTATGCGAGGAGCACACAGCACCTTCTTTTCAAAGTGAGTTGACGCGCAAGAGGCTTTTATATGTTATTTTAGAGAGTGTAGGAGCATGTTGGGGGAGGAATATGAGTAAACTGTGATGACATCGTGGAACTGAAACCTTTCTAGGTGTGTCTTTCGGGAAAACCATTAACTGGTTCCAGGAAGAGAAAGAATGTTAGGATTGCCAGCAGACTGACCAACAGGCGATGCAGCGGTGCTCAAAGCAGCTGCAAAAATTGCCAGCTGCATTTCTGGGAAGTACTTGTCTGTACAAACCCTTAATTCTTTTTTGCTGGCCGCAGCGCTTCGGAAATGGAGTAGCTAAGATGCAAAAGTGTTTTTATTGCATTGCACTTTTGAGTCAGACTGTCGCGTAATATATCAAAGAATGATTAATGGTTTTTGTTAAAGATAGATTAAAGATCAACTGCGTTACTATGATGCAGTACCCCTGCCCCTGGTTCAAACTTTGATCACCATACCCTTGTTGAACTTTCGATCTTTGTCCCCTGGGGTATAAAAGCACTCCTCCCCATCGTCGGGATGTTCATTGTTTTACCTATCCACCACTTCTATTTCACCTGCGACCTATTTCTTCTATTTAACCAATACTTTTAGGGCCGCGATAAGACATTTAGTTTGCAAACAATGAAAAACTGATAAGGAAGTGGAAAAAAGAAAAGAATTAGGAAAGTATTTTGTAAACTGAGAATGTGGTAATACAACAAATTTAAAAAATGCTCTGCCTATGTTTTGTCCTTGGGCTGCGTATGAAATGGAAATAGGAAAGGAAGAAAAGAATAAGAAAGAAATCGTATGGACGGAGAAAGCCATGATATTATGAATTCAAAAAATAATTTGCGATTCGCGACTAGCCTAAACTCATAAATTACGATTGAGTGAATGCATATTTGCCGATTGTCATTTTCAGGATCAAGTCGTGCCGAAGCTTTTGAAATCGGACGAAAAATTGCTGATGATGTGACCAACGCGAATCCTAATCCTGTGAAACTGAAGCTCGAAAAAATAATGCATCCACTAATTTTGGAGTCGAAAAAACGCTACGTCGGAATGAGTTATGAAAGTATCAATGAAGATGAAGGAATTTTTGATGCTGTAGGTATTGAAACAGTTCGAAGGGATTCTTGTCCTCTCGTCTCAAGGGTTAGTTTTTTCCAGTATTCATTTTGCTTTTTATGCGCTTTTGTTGTGCAGCGCTATAGCGCTGATACAGCCAACAAAAGTGCATATTTTCGAGAAGCTGTGTGTGTGTGTTCGGGAGCGAGTGCATTTTGTCACCCACTTTCTTCTCAGCAACCAGGAAAGCTGGAAGGCTGAAACTTTGGCTGTATGTTCCTGCCCCATGTGTCATCCTCTCGTTTCAAGATTTTCGCCCACACGCGCCTAAACCTCGCGTACGGACCCCCAAAAAACTATGCAGATTTCATTGGAGGGGAACGATTTTGTAAACCAGGCAAGGTACAAAGCTCAAACTTTGCAGGAATATTCTCTGTGCATGTGCGAGCTAAAGATTTCAAATTCAGCTGTCGCGCACGTTTGTGAAGCGCCTGCGATAACGCTAAAGTTTGTAACTTGATACTGTGCTAACTCGAAAACTTGCCGGAAAACAGTGGCTGGAATTTTGTCAGCATGTTTCTCACCCGTATGGGAAATTATATACTTAAAATGAGTACCTATTTGCACTTGCGTCACAACTTGTGGCAGTTCAAAGATATTTGTAGCGAGGTGGATATTTCGCTTGCCGGATAAGCTGTGAAGCTGAAAATTCGCTGGAATATTCTACTTTCAAGTGCGGTTTTAATTCTGTTTGGAGGTGAAATCCCCTGCAGGTGGGCATGGGGAATACTCAACTTCACCGAAAAATTAGAAGCGAGTGCGTTTTGGAGCGAACGACCGCCCTCACCCAAATATGTAAATGAACATTAGTTCATTTGCATACTTGGATTTTTTGACAAATGGCCGCTGGACTAATACTTCCACTTTTTAATGAACTGGAAATTTGCATTTTTTCAAAAAATTTGCATTTTTATCTTTTCAAAAACCGAGCATTTACCAAAAGAACGACCGAGCTTCATGCAAGAAGTGGTAATAATGTACCTGGAGGTTCATGCGACCCTATAATGCAGCACCCTCGTCCCAACCAGTGCCCACTCTGCTGCATGCCGAAAGAAACCAAAGCACAACCAATATGAGCCCAAGTGTTTGGCTACAGCTTAGAGATTATTCCTGCTATTGGCGACCTGCGAGTTTAGTGCAAAAACGCATGGTCGCATCGGCAAGGCTGGTGCGTCCCAGCCTAGGTTTTTTTCTCTGTGGTGTGAATTTCTTTGGGTCCAAATATAGGCTGTTGTGGGATCAGGATTAACCCATGTTTCTATCTTAGGTTCTGGAAAAGGCGCTGCGGTTACTATTTGAAGGTGATATGAGCCGAATGGTGCGATATTTGGACATGCAACTGTCTAACCTCGATAAAATGCCCGTGTCTGATTTCGTCTTCAGCCGAGAGTATCGCAAATCGTATGCGGAATCTGCAGTTGTGGCTTCGAAACTCATTGCTGAGTAAGTATTACTCGGGGTTTGCTCCCTACCTGTTTTAGTTTTCGAACGAAATTCTTCAAAATTATTTGTACAGCCACTTGCCCACAGGGAATTCTCATGTTAAAACAGACACAAATATACTGCATTAAAGCATCAATTCAAAAGTCTGACTTCATGTTTTCTGGATTGCTTCTCAGTGCCGTATGTTTATGGCTTCTCCATCTTTCTTTTTTGCATTAATAATCAATTCTGGCAGCAGGCCTTGAGTTTGATTCAGCCCATTCATTCGTTTCGAGGTAAATTGGAACTGGCATTTGTCAGGGAGCCATACTGGTCTCCATCTTGTTTAAAAACAGTCCTGAAAAGAGAGCGCAATCAACAACCTTGCTGACAGGTGATTGCTGATGACACCTGCAGTTACTCCATCTATTTCTCCTATGCCTCTGCCCCCATAGGAGAAAAATGCAGAAGGTTTTAACGTTGAATTTGATATCCGTACAGTCTTCTGCATACGTTGATTGCTATAGTTAAAAGGGTTTTTATTCTCGTACCACGTATGAACGTTTCGATGGACCGAAGTAACCAATTAGGATGCTTGGTTGAACCAGTGACAGAAGATGATTTATTATATGATAAGCTGACAGTGAATAGATGAGCTATTGACGAATCACCAGTACTGGCTTGAATAGAACAGTTGACGAAAGGCACTTAGAAGGTAGTCGTTGACGAACAGTACACACATACTTCGGATCGTCCATCTTATATACTGGTGCTCCTGTAACAGATACCACACATTACAATCTCCGAAATGGCCTTCATCCAAGTTTACAGAATGGATGCCATAGGAACCAGGGCTGGATTATACCGTCATAGATTTAATCTACGGTTAAGAAGTTGGCAGGGGGAAAGGTGGGCTGGGGAGTCGGATTCCTGCTGAGGATACGATCTCCGACGGGAAAGTCGGGAAGCAACGTTCAGCTGGAATGTCATCGAAGAATGACACAGTTTTTGTTTTATTTTTTGTTCTATAATTCCGATTGGGGTTGGGAGCAAAGCGAAGGCTTCGCCTTTACACTGTAAAGCCAAGCCACTGCTTGCGTATGTTGGTATTCTTTCAAGTAATCCAGGTTTCGGTATTTGTTTGGTTCATTTAATGTTGAAAAAACAAAAACAACATATATTTCCTTGTCATTCTTGTTATAGGATTTGAAAGCTCGAATCGATCATCATACTTTGAACTCTGTCCTGGTACCAAAATCAGTTTTGCTTAAATGACACTGAATGCCAAGTTGCAAGATTCTTTGAAAATTTTCATACATTCTTGGTTCATCTGAAAAGTGTAGCTTCTTGCGTTATTCTACATTGTTATGGTTGTTAGCTTTTTGGCAAGGCCACAATGAGAGGTAGCGGAAATCACACAACAGGCTCAGTTCTTTTCCATAGCTCTTATGGTGTTTTTCACTAGCTTTTATGCTTGTGCGGTAGGATAATATTTTGAAAAATTTCAACATAATTTCTCATTTTGTCGTCCCTCCAGCTGCATTTTTGTCTAAATTTTTGTTTAATTTTAAATATTCTTTCATTCCCTGTTTCTTTGCAAGATTTCACTGAATTTGATTAAATTTTTTTGTTTGTTGATAAGATTTAGCTGAATTTTACGGAGAAACTGCTAATATTTTGAAATCGGAGAGAGAAATTTAAGGTTAGCACCTGTAACGCTGGATCATTTGCACATGTTAGTCATTCGAGGATAGTGGTTTTTTTGCGCATTCATTCATACGACATCTTTTGAAGCGGAATCATTTTGCATACGACCGAATTGTAGGTATAACTGCTTCCTGTGGAGTACGTTTCTGATACATTAAAGTTGTTGTTCCTATAGAAGCGTGACGTTTGTTTTTTTGAGACAGGAACCAGTACTTCATCTTCCGAAATTCAGTGCAATTTTACGGTGAATTTAAAGGAACCAAAAAAGCACATTTAAAGCGTGTGCGTAACATAGACTTCCGATGCTGTTTTTCAGGAAGCGAGAAGCTATTTGCCCTCGTAATGTACCAGAAGTTGGTGAACGCGTGCCGTATGTAATTATATCCGGTGAACCGCACAGTACCCTAATATCATGTGTTCGCGAACCCTGGGAATTCATTGCTGACCATCGATTGACACTCAATTTTGAGTATTACGTGCAGCGTCAAGTGCTGCCTTCATTACAGCGAGCGCTTGATTACGTGCCGCTCAAGATTGAATGGCATTGCCCGGTCATTGCCGGTTGCTATAGGCTTGTTTTTTTAAATTTTTTTGGCTGTTTTTTTTTTCTTTAAAAATCTTCGTCATCGGTTAAACATTCTTGTCCTTCTTGCTTAAGAATATCTGCAGCAAAAGCCAAATTCTTCGCGTAATTTTTTATGCGTTTCTTGCATCTATCCAATACAGAAACGCGTATTGACAAGGCGTTATCTGGGTGTTCATGTGTCCGTGTGCCTGTGTGTCTGTGTGTGCGTCTCTACCGATTTTTCATCTCAAGACCTATAAAAACTGCGGGGCTGACACATTGGGAACTTAATTCACATGAACGTACGGGCCACAATCCTCAAAATTGGCACTGTTACCCACGTGGTATCTATGTACGGGCCGGCCAAAGTTTTTTAGGGGCATGCGGCTAACTCGGAAACCAGAAATGCAGGAAAGCTGAAATTTTAAGGGGACGTTTCCCGTCCAGGTAGGTATTAATAAGCTCAAATCCAGCTCCAGATACCGTGGTACCCAAGTACGGGCCCGTAAAAGTTTTTTTCGGGTAAGTCGCTAATTCGGGAACCTGAAAAGTTAGAAGACTGGAATTTGAGGGGATGTTTCCTGCAGTCCTGGAGGCCAGTCTGAAATTCTTCTAGCTAGAAGCATCTGCCGAAAAAAAACAGTGCCGTGAACGACAAAAATCTGTAGGGAACTATGCAAAAACGCATGATCGCGCGGGTCCACCCGGTGCCTTCCAGCCTGGGGTTTTTTTTTTTTTTTAATTTCGCTTTCTGCATTTATGCAGTGCAAAAACAAATATTCTAATCATCTGTGTATCTGTGTTTGTTTCTATATGTGCATGTGTGTGTGTGCGTGTCCGCCTACTTCGTTTTCCAGATCTGCGGTAGTTATGAAGATGAAACTTCGGCAACTTAGTATATCACTATTTATGGCGGGCCAATGTTTATATTCTCCTGATTATGCCTTTCCTGGCTGCTTTTTCGCTTTCCAGTCATTCTCCTCATCTTATGAATAATTTGCCGCTCCATTCGTCGGTATCCAACTACCTACAAATCATGAACACTTCGCGTCCTGTACTGATAAATGCATGAGCAAAAATTTTTGTGGAATGGAGAGTTCATTTATATGGTGGATCGCTGTGTGATGTGGTGCATCAACTAAAGGGCCAATTGGAAAAATAAAAACTTTTATGTCTTATTTGTTACGGTGCAGGTAAAGGTAGTAGTAAAGAAGAGCGTGATGCTTGAGCTCTGACGAGCGGGATAGCCTGCTAGGCAGGG